CGCTCTTCTGCATGGGTACGTCGGGGTGGGGCATGGGGGACATTGCTGGTGGCAACCAAGGTCTCCTCCACCATGCCCTAGCTCACCCCAGTCCTCTTCTCCCAGGACCAAACGTCACATCACCGTTTGCGCTAGAAGGTGACTTGGTGGAGCTCAGCAGCAAGCTTTTGCTGTACTACACCCCACAGGTGAGGAGAGCCACCCCTTCAGGGGCGAGGACAGCACTGGTAGACCCTCTACCGTAGGTGACATCTCCAGGAGCATGAGGACGCTCCCATGGTGCTCTCTTTTAGGCCTGCAGGAACAACATCTGCCTGGACCTCTCTCCCAGCCATGGCTTGGACGGGAGGCTGACGGGACACAAGGTGGTCAACTGGGACATAAAGGTATGCTGAGCACAAGGTGACCTGTCCTGGTCCATCCATCCCATGGCATGGAGGCAGCTGGGTCCCTTCTGGAGTGTGGGGCAGGGCCAGGACCCCCAAGGAGTGTTGGATGGCCACGGTGGTTCCCCTGGACCCTGCGGGGTCTCTGCTACATAGTATGGGGCCCACCAAGGACCTGCCTGACCCATAGGTCCCCCAAGGACCTGCATGCCCCATGGGTCCCCTAAGGACCTGTTGCCCCGCAACTCCTCAGCACCCAGGGCGGGCACCATGGGTGGTGCAGGGGACGAGGTGCTCTTTGGGGACCTGTTTTAGGTTTGTGCTGTGGGGTGGGTCAGGGCACACCCCGATATCTGCTAGGCACAGGGCCCAGCTCCCCCCGGCTTGGGCTGAGGCCGTGAGCAGGTAGGACGGACCCCAGTTGCACGTGCAACCTCCTCCTCTACGCTGCCATCACCACGCAGCACCCGGTAAAGCCTCTCGCCTCCCTCCGGCAGGACGTGGTCAACTGCGTGGGTGGGATGGGCGTGCTGCTACCCCTGCTCGAGCAAGTGGTTTCCAAGAAGGAGGAGCCCGAGGATGAGCAGGAGACCAATGACCTGGTGGGGCCAGAGCTGACATCCTCCAGGAACGCCCAGGGCATGCTCATCCCGCTGGGCAAGTCCTCAGGTGAGGACCTCGGGGGACGTGGAGAGGGAGCTGTCCTGCTCGGGTGGCTGGAGGGAGCCCCGCTGCCACATGGGTGCTGCCTGGAGCAGGCTGGTGTCTACCATGGCCATGAGAGGTCTTGCCTGGGGCACCAAGGGTTATGGGGTGACGGAGAAACCGTTGACATCTTTTAATGTTGTTATGACCCAATTAGTCATAAACAAGCAGTTTTGGGAAGGTGAGGGTGGCTCCAGCCTGTTGCCTCCGGCTTGCCTTTGTGTGGAGTCTCTGGTGTCTTATAGTAGGGCTGGGTTCATCCAGGAGGCTTCTCCTGCGTAGGTGAAATAGGCTTTTTCCTGATACCCAGCTGCTTATTTCCAAGAAGCTCAGAGCAGCGGAGGTTTCCACTCGCTTAAATTTGGGGGAAATACGGGAATGGGCTGAAAAGTTTGCAGAGAAAAGTTTACGATGGGGTCTCCAGGATGCCCGTTGCAGGCAGCACTAGGGGAAGGTGTCTAGGTGGGCATGGGGCTCACAGCTACTGGTGGGCCTCTGCCCTGTGCCTTGCAGAGAGCAGGCTGGAGAGGAACAGCGTGGCCGCCTTCCTGCTGCTGGTGAAGAACTTCATCCAGAACCACCCAGTGAACCAGGAGAGCCTGGTACAGTGCCACGGGCCGGCCATCATTGGGGCGCTGCTGCAGAAGGTGTGGGGGGCTACCAAGGGTTCCATCCTATGGTCCCAAGGGGGATGCCGAGGCTGCAGACCTCCTCTCTCGCCCATGGCAGGTCTCCAGTCCGCTGCTGGACATGAGCACGCTGATGGCCTCACAGATCCTCATGGAGCAGGTGGGCTCCGAGGGCAGCGGGCTCTTGCTGCACCTCCTCTACCAGCATCTCCTCTTCGACTTCCGCATCTGGAGCAACAGCGACTTCGCCGTCCGCTTAGGTGGGAACTGGGGCTGCTTTGGGGGTGTTCTCATCCCGACCAGCCTCCACGGCCGCTCACACCTTCTCCCTGCAGGTCACATCCAGTATCTGGCCAACGTCGTCAAGGACCACAAGCAGCGCGTCCGCAAGAAGTACGGGGTGCAGTACATCCTCGACTCCATCCGGACGTACTATGGGTGAGCTGTCGCTTGTAGTCCGGACCCCTGAATGCTGACGTGGTGGTGGGCTTCACCCCTCAGAGCTGCTGTTTGGGGTAGATGCCCTTTGCTTGGGGTAATATGCTCCCTGCAAGCACCTCATGGCGTGATCTCCCGGTGTGGGAGCATGGTGGTGTGTGCAGGACGTTCCGCTCCCCATGGCCATGCCTCGTCCCCAAGCCTCCACCCAGAGCTGTGCCTGGTCAGCCCCAAAATCCACGCCCAGCGTCTCTCCAGCAGCAACCAAGAGCTTGGTGGTTTCTGCAACGAGCTGATGCCCTTTTCTTGTCTGACCTGATGTGTTTCCACACTTTCGTGATGCTGGGGGTGCTTGCACCCTGCAGAGACCAAAATGCATGGGGTGAACATTTCCCAGTGGGCAGGGTTGGTCAGAAGGGATGTCCACACCAGGCTGACCTGGAGCTCCTCAGGCTCCGTGGTGTGATTTGGGGTGATGCTGGCGATGGGTGACAAGGGACGGGGAGGGCAGCTGTGCACATCCACAGAGGGAACACCCATGCGTGTCTGTCCACCAGCACCTCCAGGGAGAAGACCACAGCCACCGATGACATCAAGACGGTGCAGACGTCCCTCTTCAGTCTGGTGAAGGATTTCTTCTGCAGGAGCTTCTCCGGGGAGGAGATGCAGAGCTTGCTGAGCTACGTGGCCGGGGCACAGGACGAGCAGCAGGTACGGCACTGAGCCACCCAGGTCCCCAGACACCTCAGTGTGTCCATGGGCTGGCCCGGCGCTTCACAGTAGGTGGGGAGAAGCCGCTGAGGTCCTGGTGGGTCATGTAGAGGGCCGTGGACAACCAGCCCCATGTCCCACAGGTCTGCGGGGCACTGGAGGTGATCCACAGCCTGCTGAAGGGCTCACCTGCCCAGGAGCAGCTCTTTGCCTTCCTCTTTGAGCCAGGCCACGTGGAGGTCCTCTTCTCGCTACTGGTGCAGAAGAAGTTCTCGGATGAAGTGCGGGAGAGGGTCTTCAAGGTAAGGCAGGTTCCCAGTACCAACCTCTTGCTGTCCCCCAGCAGCCAGGGCCTTTCCTGCAGCGGGGTGACCACCTCTCTCTGTCTCACCAGGTCCTCTACAAGATGCTGAAGTACGAGAAGGTCCCTGAGCGCAGCAAGAACCGCCTGAAGCTGAAGGACATCGGGTACCAGGGGCTGATCGCCTGCCTCAGCGACGTCCCCAGCTCCATGCTGCTCTTCCGCTGCCTCTCGGAGCAGGTCCTCGGGGCAGGTACCGCATGTCCTGACAAAACCAAGCTGACCCCGGCCACCTATCCCAAACATGTGCCATGGGGACATCACGGGTGACTTCCCGCAAGGCTCAGCCCGTCCTGGGGCTGGGGGTCTTTGGTGGCTTTTGGAGACAGAAGGAGGTGTCTCACTGCAGTACTGTCTCTCCTTGTCCGTAGACCCTCCCAACTACAAGGACCTGGTGGCCGTGGTTTACCTGTCCCACCGGGCCGAGCTGACCGTCCGGCTAGATATCTGCCGCAAGGTGAGCAGGACCACGGGTGCAAGAGGCTGTGGCTGAGTGGTTGCCCCGGGGCTGAGGTCCCTGGGCACCCAGCCATGCCTCAACACGGAGGCCATGGAGATGGTGGTGACACCCGTGTACGGGGCTGCTGGCACATGGACACGCCAGCATGGAGGTGGTGCAGCCCCAGCCCTCCATGAAGGTTATGGAGGGTCTGGGGTGCTCAAGCATCCTGCCCCTTGGAGGGACCAACCCCCAAGAGGCTACCAGGAGCTGGGGCAACATCATCAGGTCTCCCCTCTCGCTTTCTCTTGCAGCTCTTCCACTTGATCTACGCGCAGCAGGACATGGTGAAGCAGCTGGCGAGGTTGGCCGGCTGGCAGGACACGCTCACCAAGCTCTACGTCAAGGAGTCCTACGAGTCCCGTCAGCACAGCCTGAGCAACGCGGGCAACGGGGGCTGCCTGGAGCTCCTCCTCCTCTATCATCAGGTCTCCCCTCTCGCTTTCTCTTGCAGCTCTTCCACTTGATCTACGCGCAGCAGGACATGGTGAAGCAGCTGGCGAGGTTGGCCGGCTGGCAGGACACGCTCACCAAGCTCTACGTCAAGGAGTCCTACGAGTCCCGTCAGCACAGCCTGAGCAACGCGGGCAACGGGGGCTGCCTGGAGCTCCTCCTCCTCTCGGACACTCCCAGCAAAGAGCGGTGATGGTCCTCCCTTTGATGGTGTCTATCACCCACTCTCACCCTTCTCCACCTCACCCTTTGACCTGGGGCTTGACCTGGCCAGCACCTGCTCCAGTGACACAGCCGAGAGTGGCACGCAGACCCCCACCAGCGGCCCTGGCACCCCCTCACCCCTGGAGAGCTTCAAGCCCTTCCCGGGGATGCGAGCACGCAAGAGCTCCAGCCTCTCCAACGTCCTGGATGAGAGCAGCTACCAGGATGCTCTGCCCAGTGACAATGTCTCCAACACCAGCAACCCCCAGGTGAGCCCAGAACCATCATGCCCACCACCCTGGGCTACACTGGACACCGGACCTCTCACCCTTCCTCTCCGTTGGCAGCAAACGCCTGAGGAGGAGCTGTGCAACCTCTTGACCAACATCATCTTCTCGGTGACCTGGCGCGGGGTGGAGGGCTGGGATGACGCAGCGTGGAGGGAGCGCGGGCAGGTCTTCTCCGTCCTCACCAAGCTGGGGATGGCGTGTGAGCTGGTGCGGCCCCCTGATGAGATCAAGCGCAGGTGAGTCCTGCCCAGGTGCGGAGCGGGGTCTGGTGGGGTGCGCCCCAAGGGAGGACCACCCCGCGGAGCTGCCTGCTGTCCCGCAGCCTGCTGGAGATGATGTTGGAATCGGCGCTGACGGACCTGAAGGAGTCGGGGCCGGCCACCCTGCCCGGTCTCACCCACAACGCCCTCAAGCTGCTGCGGCTGCTCCAGGACTTCTTGTTCTCCGAGGGACACAACAACCAGGCTCTGTGGAGCGAGAAGGTGGATGGGCACGAGGAGAGGTTCCTGATCCCAAAGCCGAGCTCAGAACCCTGATGCTAACCCCTGATGTTAGCCCTGAGCCTAAACCCTGCCCCTACCTGCAGCCCTTGAACCTAACCTTAGGAAATAACCTGTGCCTTAATCCTAAACGCTAACCCATAACCAGTAAAGCAAATGCTGACCCCAAAACCTTAGCCCTAGCCCGACGCTCTGTCCGTAAACCCCAAATCTAACCCTAAGCCTTAACCCCAACCCCGCACCCTTGCTGTGAAGCCCGATCCCACACCCTAGCCCTAAGCCCTACTTCTAACCCTTAACCCCAGTCCTACAGCCTTACTGTAAACCCAAATCTGATGATCTAACCCTGTACACTGAGATCTAACCCTAAACCCTGTCCCTAACTAGTAAACTGTCAATTTAACCCTAACCCATGCTGTTAACCCTAGGCCCCAACTCCTGCTGTAAATGCCAATGATGATCCTAAGCCCTAACCCCTAATCCTGAAGTTTAAACTTAACCCTGCACTCTCACCATAAATCCAACCCCCTAGCCCTATACCGTAAGCCCTAACCCTAAAGCCTGTCCCTCACTCATAATCTGTAAATCTAACTGTACCAAATCCTAATCCTCAACCTTAACCCTACATCCTTGTTGGAAGCCCAAATCCTTAACCCTACTCTTAACCCCAACCCTATGCACTTACTCTAAACCAAAACCCCAAACCCGAACCATAACTCATACCCTGTAATCTAACCCTGCCTCCTAAATCCTAATCTGCAACCTCTCCGTTCATCCTTGCCCTAAAGCTCAGCCCTAACCCCAAGCCTGTGCCCTCACCCTAACCCCAGTCCTAACCCTAACGCTAACCCTAACCCTTACTGTAACCCTAACCCCATACACTAACCCTGTAGGCTAAGATCTAACCTTAAACCCTATCCCCATCTCATAGCCTGTAAATCTAACCCGAAGCCTGCTGTTAACCCCACACTATTGCTTTAAACCTAACCCTGATCCTAAGCCTAAACTTTAACCTTAACCCTAACCCTTCCTCTAAACCCAAAACATTAGCCCTGTGCCCTAAGGTCTAAGCCTAAACCCTAACCCTATCTCCTAATCTTAATCCTAAACCTTAACCCTACATTCTTCCCCTAAACTCAGCCCTAATCCCAGTCCTACACCCTCACCCTAACCCCAGTCCCAACCCTCAACCCAAACCCTACAACCTTACTGTAAACCGAAATTCTAATCCTGTACCATAAACCCTAACCTTCATTTATAATTTATAAACCTTACCTTATCTCCTAAATGCTAATCCTCAAATTTAACCCTACATCCTTGTTGTAAACCCCAACCCTTAACCCTAATCTTAACCCCAACCCTACGCCCTTGCTGTAAACTGAAACCCCAAAAGCTAACCTTAACTCATAACCTGTAATCTAACCCTGCCTCCTAAATCCTAATCTGCAACCTCTCCGTTCATCCTTGCCCTAAAGCTCAGCCCTAACCCCAAGCCTGTGCCCTCACCCTAACCCCAGTCCTAACCCTAACGCTAACCCTAACCCTTACTGTAACCCTAACCCCATACACTAACCCTGTAGGCTAAGATCTAACCTTAAGCCCTATCCCCATCTCATAACCTGGAAATCTAACCTGAACCCTGCTGTTAACCCCACACTATTGCTTTAAACCCTAACCCTGATGCTAAGCCTAAACGTTAACCTTAAGCCTAACCCTTACTATAAACACAAAACACTAGCCTTATGCCATAAGCTCTAACCCTAAACCCTAACCCTACCTCCTAAATCCTAATCCTAAACCTTAACCCTACATCCTTGCCCTAAAGCTCAGCCCTAACCCCAATCCCATACCCTCGACCTAACCCCAATCCCAACCCTCAACCTTAACCCTACAACCTTACTGTAAACCAAAATTCTAATCGTATCCCCTAAGCGCTGACATTCACTTAGAATTTATAGATCTAACGGTATCTCCTAAATCCAAATCCTCGACCTTAAACCTACATCCATGTTGTACACCCCAGCCATAACCCTAATCTTAACCCTAACCCTACACCCTTACTGTAAACTGAAACCCCAAATCCGAACCTTAACACACAACCTGTAATCTAACCCTACCTCCTGAATCCTAATCCTAAACCTTAACCCTACATCCTTGCCATAAACCTCAGCCCTAACCCCAATCTTATGCCCTCATCCTAACCCCCGTCCTAACCCCCCTGAACACAAACCCTACAACCTTTCTGTAAACCTAACCCTGTACTCCAGCCCTGTGCTAACCCTAAACCCTGTCCCTATCTGATAACCTGGAAATCTGACCCGAACCCTTGCTGTTAACACTATTACTTTAAACCCTAACTCTAAACACTAAACCTAAACTTTAACCTTAACCTCACACCCTTACTCTAAATCCAAAACCCTAGCCTTATGCCATAAGATCTAACCCTCAACCCTAACCCTACCTGCTAATCTTAATCGTAAACCTTAACCCTACATCCTTACCCTAAAACAGAGCCCTAATCCCAGTCCTACACCCTCACCCTAACCCCAATCCCAACCCTCAACCCAAACCCTACAACCTTACTGTAAACCGAAATTCTAATCCTGTACCCTAAGCGCTAACCTTCATTTATAATTTATAAATCTGACCATATCTCCTAAATGCTAATCCTCAACCTTAACCCTACATCCTTGTTGTAAACCCCAACCCTTAACCCTAAACTTAACCCCAACCCTATGCCCTTACCACAAACCTAAACCCCAAACCCTAACCTTAACTCACAACCTGTAATCTAACCCTACCTCCAAATCCTAAACCTTAACCCTACATCCTTGCCCTAAAGCTCAGCCCTAACCCCAATCCTGTGCCCTCACCCTAACCCCAGTCCTAACCCTAACGCTAACCCTAACCCTTACTGTAACCCTAACCCCATACACTAACCCTGTAGGCTAAGATCTAACCCTATCCCTGTCTCATAACCTGGAAATCTAACCCGAACCCTTGCTGTTAACCCCACACTATTGCTTTAAACCCTAACCCTCATGCTAAACCTAAACTTTAACCTTAAGCCTAACCCTTCCTCTAAACCCAAAACATTAGCCCTGTGCCCTAAGGTCTAACCCTAAACCCTAACCCTATCTCCTAATCTTAATCCTAAACCTTAACCCTACATCCTTGCCCTAAAGTTTAGCCCTAATCCCAGTCCTGTACCCTCAACCCAAACCCTACAACCTTACTGTAAACCGAAATTCTAATCCTGTACCATAAACCCTAACCTTCATTTATAATTTATAAACCTTACCTTATCTCCTAAATGCTAATCCTCAAATTTAACCCTACATCCTTGTTGTAAACCCCAACCCTTAACCCTAATCTTAACCCCAACCCTACGCCCTTGCTGTAAACTGAAACCCCAAAAGCTAACCTTAACTCATAACCTGTAATCTAACCCTGCCTCCTAAATCCTAATCTGCAACCTCTCCGTTCATCCTTGCCCTAAAGCTCAGCCCTAACCCCAAGCCTGTGCCCTCACCCTAACCCCAGTCCTAACCCTAACGCTAACCCTAACCCTTACTGTAACCCTAACCCCATACACTAACCCTGTAGGCTAAGATCTAACCTTAAGCCCTATCCCCATCTCATAACCTGGAAATCTAACCTGAACCCTGCTGTTAACCCCACACTATTGCTTTAAACCCTAACCCTGATGCTAAGCCTAAACGTTAACCTTAAGCCTAACCCTTACTATAAACACAAAACACTAGCCTTATGCCATAAGCTCTAACCCTAAACCCTAACCCTACCTCCTAAATCCTAGCTTACTGTAAACTGAAACCCCAAACCTGAACCTTAACACATAACCTGTAATCTAACCCTACCTCCTGAATCCTAATCCTAAACCTTAACCCTACATCCTTACCCTAAAACTCAGCCCTAACCCCAATCTTATGCCCTCATCCTAACCCCCGTCCTAACCCCCCTGAACACAAACCCTACAACCTTTCTGTAAACCTAACCCTGTACTCCAGCCCTGTGCTAACCCTAAACCCTGTCCCTATCTGATAACCTGGAAATCTGACCCGAACCCTTGCTGTTAACACTATTACTTTAAACCCTAACTCTAAACACTAAACCTAAACTTTAACCTTAACCTCACACCCTTACTCTAAATCCAAAACCCTAGCCTTATGCCATAAGATCTAACACATGCCTCTTAAATCCTAGTCCTAAACCCTACATCCTTGCCCTAAACCTCAGCCCTAACCCCAATCCTATACCCTCACCCTAACCCCAATCCCAACCCTAACCCTACAACGTGACTGTAAACCGAATTTCTAACCCTATCCCCTAAGCACTAACCTTCATTTATGATTTATAAATCTAACCGTATCTCCTAAATCCAAATCCTCGACCTGAACCCGACATCCTTGCCCTAAACCTCACCCCTGACCCCAATCCTGTACCATCACCCTAAAATCAGTCCCAACCCCTAACCCCAACCCTACCCCCCTACCATAAACCCATACCCTAAGCCCCGACCCATAACCCTCATGCCAAACCCTAACGAGTTCGTCATTAGGGCTGGGGCTCTACCCTCCCCCTAAACCCTGATCCGAACCCCTACCCAAACCCAAACCATGGGTAACTCACCCATGTCCACCAAAGCTGAGGGTGGCCGGGTGATGGGGACAGACCTGGTGGCTTCATGCCCACCAGGCCAGAGAGGTGGGGGGTGCGTGGCTGGGCAGGGTCTCACTGTGCCCCCCCCAGATCTACGAGGGGGTGAGCAGTCTGCTGGACAAGCTCGGCGTCTGGTACCACCTGGCCAACGGCACCTCCGACCTCAAGGAGATGGCCCAGACGGGTCTACGCGTCCTCGTGGGCTACATCATGCTGCAAGACCCCCAGGTGGGTCAACCCTTCCCGGGACTTGGGGTGAGACCCCAGCCCTTGGGGCAGGGCAGGTGGCCCCAGCTGATGTCCCCTGTCCCCCCCAGCTACACTCGCTGGCGTACGTGAAGCTCCACAGCCTGCTGCAGACCGCCTCGGCCCCCAAAAAGGACGAGGCTTGCTACCTGCTGGCCAGGCTGGAGACCCCGCTGCGACGCTCGCTGGACGCCAAGTCGGAGACCTTCTCCTGGTTGGTGCCCATCGTCCGCACTCTCATGGACCAGTGCTACGAGACCCTGCAGCTGCAGGTCTTCCTGCCCTCACTGCCCCCCACCAACGGCAGCCCAACCTTCTACGAGGACTTCCAGCTCTTCTGCACCACCCCAGAGTGGAGGGGCTTCATCGAGAAGCACGTGGGTGCCGTGGGGCGTGGGGTGGCGTTGGTGTTGGGGGAACCCCTTCCCAGGCTTAGAGACGGGTCCGTGCTGCAGCTGGGTCCCCATGTCACCAGCGGTTTGGGACAGCCTGCAGGGGTGACCTCCAAGACATGGATGCTTCTAGCCCGGATGATGGTTGGTGGGTGCCAAGCCCTGCAAACACCTTCTCCCTTGTCCCGGTTCTCTCGGTAGGTGCAGCCCACCATGGCCCAGTTTGAGATGGACACCTTCGCCAAGAGCCACGACCACATGTCCAATTTCTGGAACGCCTGCTACGATGCCATGATGAGCAGCTCCCAGCGACGGGAGCAGGAGAAGGCGGCCAGCCGCAAGATGTTCCAGGTACTGCGTGCTCCTCGCCCCTGGGACGTCACTCTGGGGATGTCTTCCTCATCCTGGGGACATGCTCCTCACCCCAAGGATGTCATCCTGGGGATGTGCTCCTCATCCCGAGGATGTCATCTTGGGGAGATCCTCCTCACTCTGGGGACGTGGTCCTCAGGGTGTGCTCCTCATCCCAGGGACATCATCCCAGGGATGTACTCATCAACCCAGGGACGTTGTTTCAGGGATGTGCTCCTCACCCTGGGTACATGCTCCTCACCCCAGGGACATCGTCCAGGGGTCATGGGGATGTGCTTCTCACCCAAGATTGTCATGCTGGTGACATGCTCCTCTGGAGATGTCATCCTGGGGACATGGTGCTCACCCCAGGGATGTGCTCTTTATCCTGGGGAGGTCATCTTGGGGACATCCTCCTCTCTCTGGGCGCATCATCCTCAGGATGTGCTCCTCATCCTCGGGAAATCGTGGGGACGTGCTCCTCATCTCAGGGACATCATCCCAGGGATGTTCTCCTCACTCTGGGGCTGTCATCCTAGGGACGTGCTACTTGCTTCAGAGACATGCTTATCAACCCCGTGGACATTAATCACGGGGATGTGCTCTTCATCCCAGGGATGTCATCCTGGGGACATGCTCCTTATGCTGGGGACATTGCCCTCAGGAAGTGCTCCTCATCCTAAAGGACATTGTTCTGGGGCTGTGCTCCTCATCACAGGATCATCATCCCAGGGATGTGCTCATCAGCCTGGGGACATCATCCCAGGGATGTGCTCTTCAGACTGGGGCTGTGCTCCTCATTCCAGGAGCACCATCCTGGGGATGTGCCCCTCATCTCAGCATCATCTTCCTGGAGATGTGCTCTTCAGACTGGGGACATCATCCCAGGGATGTACCACTCACACTGGGGACATGCTCCTCATCCCAGGAGCACCAGACTGGGGATGTTCTCATAATTCCAGGAGCACCATCCTGGGGCTGTGCTCCTCATCGCAGGACCACCATCCTGGGGATGTTCTCCTCATCCCAGGAGCACCATCCTGGGGATGTGCTCCTCATCCCTGGAGCACCATCCTGAGGATGTGCCCCTCATCCCAGGAGCACCGTCCTGGGGATGTGCTCCTCATCCCAGCATCATCTTCCTGGAGATGTGCTCATCAGCCTGAGGACATCATCCCAAGGATGTGCTCCTCACCCCTAGTACATCACCCCAGGGGTGTGCTCCTTGCCCTGGGGACATCACCCCAGGGATGTGCTCCTCACCGCAGGGATGTCCCCAAGCCCCAGCCCTGCTGTCACTTCACTCTCCTGCTCCCTCGGTAGGAGCTGGTGCTGGAGCCGGCGGCGAAGCGCTGCAAAGCAGAAAACGCCCGGCACGCCAACGTGCTCAAGCAGGCCAACAACCACCACAGCACCGTGCTGAAGCAGTGGCGGTCCCTGTGCCGCCTCCTCACCTCACCCCGCTCCGCCTGGGCTGACCGGTGAGCCCCCGCCTTGGTCCCTGGGGAGGGGAGGCATGGCTGGGGGGCTCCAGGGTGCCTCACCCCCACCTGCCCCCCAGGAACCCACCGGAGGTTCGCTGGAAGCTGTCGAGCGCCGAGACCTACTCCCGGATGAGGCTGAAGCTGGTGCCCAACCTGAATTTTGACCAACACTTGGAGGCCAGCGCGCTACGGGACAACTTGGGTGAGGCTGATGGGAGGGGGGCACCCAGGGGTCCCCCCACACCTTGGGCAAAGAGTGCCACCGGTTGGATACATGTGGTGGAGTTGAGCTGGGAGCTGTCGTGGACCCTGTTGGGGTTGGGGGGTGGGATGGAGACCCTTCACAGGGCTTGTCCCCCAGCTGTGGGAGGCCAGGGGTCCTGCTGACCCCTTCCTCATTTCAGGAGCCGACCACCTTCACAACCCCGCCGAGTCCCTGCCACTCGCCATGGCCAAGGAGGCCAAGGTGAGCGAGCTGGAAGATGACCAACTGGCCGAGGAGGACCTCCCCGTCCTGGACAACCAGTGAGTGTCCACATCCCCTGCCATGGCCCTGCCTCGCCCAGGCTGGGTGTGTCGCCAGGGTCTCCTTGCCCCCCTGTGTCACCCAGGGCTGAGCCTAAGGAGCAAAACCAGCGGGAGAAGCTGGTGGTCTCAGAGGACTGCGAGCTCATCACGACGGTGGCGGTTGTCCCCGGCCGCTTGGAGGTCACAACCCAGCACGTCTACTTCTACGACGGCAGCAGCGAGAAGGAGGAGACAGAGGGAGGTAACAGCACATGCTGCTTGGGGGAGTACCCTGCAGCAAGGTGGGATGAGGAACCCCCCACCCATCCCATCTTCTCCAGAAGCCCATTGCGCTGGGTGCTGGCCATTTTGGGGGTGGGCTTCTCCCAGCCCCAGGGCGATGGTGGCCTCCATCCCTGCCTCGGGAATTGGGATCCGGGTGGAAAGTGATGCCAGTGGGGCTCTGTGCCCCCCCATCTCGGCAGGGATCGGCTACGACTTCAAGCGCCCCTTGTCCCACCTGCGCGAGGTCCACCTGCGCCGCTACAACCTACGCCGCTCTGCACTTGAGCTCTTCTTCATCGACCAGGCCAACTACTTCCTCAACTTCAAAAAAAAGGTGGTGGCACCCTTTCCCCCTCCCCAAGCCCCTCCTGGGGCCATGGCACTGCCCAGGCTCCAGCCACTCCACGACCTACCGACGTCCCCTCAGGTGAGGAACAAGGTATACTCCTGCATCCTTGGCCTGCGTCCCACCAACCAGATCTACTTCGGCAGCCGGTCACCCCAGGAGCTGCTGAAAGCCTCAGGGCTCACCCAGGTACCAGCCCCTCCTTGCCCATCCCTGCCCCATATCTCACCTTCCCAGATGGCAAAGGGGACAGTGCCAGCGTGGAATGGGGATGGCTGTGGGACCAAGGATGGGCATGGGTTGGAGATGACCATGGGACCAGGGATGGCCATGGGACCGGGGATGGCTGTGGGATGGAGGTAGCCATGGGACCGGGGATGGCTGTGGGACCAGGGGTGGCCATGGGTTGGAGATGACCATGGGACCAGGGATGACTGTGGGATGGAGATGGCCTTGGAACCTGGGGTGGTCATGGGATCAGGGATGGCTGTGTGATGGAGATGGTTATGGGACCTGGGGTGGTCACAGGATGGAGATGACTGCAGGACCAGGGATGGCCGTGGCACCAGGAATGGCCACAGGATCAGGGATGTTTGTGGGACCAGGGATGGCCATGGGATGGGGATGACCATGGGACCAGGGATGGCTGTGGGACAGGGACAGCCATGGGGAGGGGGTGTCTGCGCCCTCTCCTGCCCCCCAGCCCATCTCAGCGCCCTCCCTTCCCTCCAGAAATGGGTCCTGCGGGAGATCTCCAACTTCGAGTACCTCATGCAGCTGAACACGATTGCAGGACGCACCTACAATGACCTCTCCCAGCTCCTTACGTCTCGGAGACCCTCGACCTCACCGACCCAGCCGTGTTTCGGGACCTGTCCAAGCCCATCGGGGTGGCCAACGAGCGGCACGCCCGGGACGTGAAGGAGAAGTGAGTGTCCCCAAGAAAGGAGGGACGGGGGACTTGGGGACCATCTGGTCAGCTCCTGGTGGACCTCCCCCACCTCACCCCCAGGTACGAGAGCTTCGAGGACCCCACGGGCACCGTGGACAAGTTCCACTACGGCACACACTACTCCAACGCGGCGGGCGTCATGCACTACCTGATCCGCACCGAGCCCTTCACCACCCTCCACATCCAGCTGCAGAGCGGCAGGGGGGCAGCTGGGGGGGGACCCTGGACATCGAGGGGGACGAGCGGGCTCCGACCGAGTGTCCTGTGCCACCAGGTTTGACTGCTCGGACCGGCAGTTCCACTCGGTGCCAGCAGCGTGGCAAGCCCGCATGGAGAACCCCGTAGACGTCAAGGAGCTCATCCCCGAGTTCTTCTACTTCCCTGAGTTCCTGGAGAACCAGAACGGTGAGGAGCACCCGCCATCCCCACCATGGGGACAGCACCCATGGGAGCATGGCTTGGGTGGGTGTCCCTGTCCCCCCGCCTGCTGTGCCTTCAGGCTTCGACCTGGGCTGTCTGCAGCTCTCCAACGAGAAGGTGGGCGACGTGGTGCTGCCCCGGTGGGCGCGCTCCCGCGAGGACTTCATCTACCAGCACCGCAAAGCCCTGGTGAGATGGTGAACCTCACTCCGGCCATTGCTCCACTCCCACCCCTGGGGGGTTGTTACAGGGGGTGGTGGGCGTTCCCAGCCCACCGCGATGCCCCATCCTTGGACAGGAGTCAGAGTACGTCTCAGCCCACCTCCATGAGTGGATCGACCTCATTTTTGGGTACAAGCAACGAGGCCCGGCCGCCGTGGAGGCCCTCAACGTCTTCTACTACTGCACATATGAGGGTGAGCCGTGGGGCAAGGAGGTGGAGGAGCACCTGCCAGGTGGCCCCCCATAACCATCCCCGTCCCCAGGGGCCGTGGACCTGGACGCCATCGCTGATGAGACGCAGAGGAAAGCTCTGGAGGGCATCATCAGCAACTTTGGGCAGACGCCCTGCCAGCTGCTCAAGGTAGCTCATGCCCCCACCCCAAAAGAATAGCCCCTTTCAGGGGGCCACCCCCCTTCTGATGGGTTCCCTCGCCACCGTCCTCAGGAACCCCAGCCCGCCCGGCTGTCGGCAGAGAGCGCTGCCCGGAGGCTGGCCCGCCTCGACACCCGCTCACCCAACGTCTTCGAGAACCTGGACCAGCTGAAGTCCTTCTTCGTGGAGGTGAGGCCAAGCCCAAGGGGTCCCTGGCCGGGACTGGGAGGGTGGTGGTGGCCAGGAGGGTGCCCACTGGTTGCTGTCTCCCTGCAGGGCATCAGTGATGGGGTGGCTCTGGTGCAAGCAGTGGTCCCCAAGAACCAGGCGCACTCCTTCATCACTCAGGGATCACCCGACGTCCTGGTGAGTGTGGGGAAACTGAGGCATGGGTGCATGCTGCTGGCCCGGGGGGACTGGGACCGAACCCCAGGAGGGCTTCAGTGGTGATGGCTGTGTCACCTCCATCTCCATCTCTGCCCAGGTCACCGTGAGTGCCAACGGCTTGTTGGGCACCCACAACTGGTTACCCTACGACAAGAACATCTCCAACTACTTCAGCTTCACCAAAGACCCCACCGTCTCCAACGCAAAGTGAGTCGGGCACGTGATCCCCGGGGATGGTCCTCGGAGGTGCCACCAGCCCACCCCACGGCTCTGCCACCATCCCGTGTCCCCTCCCCACCAGGACCCAGCGCTTCCTGCAGGGCCCCTTCGCCCCCGGCGCGGACCTCTGCTCCCGCACGCTGGCCGTGTCCCCCGACGGGAAGCTGCTCTTCAGCGGGGGGCATTGGGACAACAGCCTCCGCGTCACCTCGCTGGCCAAAGGGAAGGTCGTTGGGCAGATCACCCGGCACATAGGTACGTCCACCTCCGATGATGAAGGTCCGATGATGCCCCAATGGGTTTGTAGGGCCATGGGGGGAGGCAGGGGACACATGAGCGGGCAGGGGACATCTCCCAGTGTCTCCCATCTTCTGGGGACAGTCCGGGCTCCATCACAGAGCAGGGCTGGAGTTGGGGTTAGCAGCATCTCCACACCCCAAAACACATCTTGATGCCAGCCCACGGGGTCGGGGTGCTGAGGACGGTGGGACAGGACCAGCAGCTCATGGTGTCCCTCTGGGTGTCACAGATGTTGTCACCTGCCTGGCGCTTGACCTCTGCGGCATCTACCTCATTTCTGGGTCGCGAGACACCACCTGCATGGTGTGGCAGGGGCCACAGCAGGCAGG